GGCCAAAGGTATAAGATGTTAGTATGACTTGTAGGAAGCAATTGGATACAATATATAGTAACGAGAATGTTAAAAATGTCCCGACTTCTGGGAATTTGCCCTTAGGAAACAAAGCAAAATCAGGGAAAAGCTACCTGAAGGAAGCTGGCACCAGAGCAGTATAAAAACAGGCTATACCCAACTATAAGTGAATTATATCATAGAGGCCATCCACTTGGTAAAATATTACATAACCATGACAACACTTTGAAGTTTTGATGTAATCTTGAGTGAAAAAAGACAGATATAGACCCCTTTAATGCTATAAAATTATGAGGGCAAAGACTGACCAAGAACATACAAAAATTAAAATAAGCTACTGTTCTTTTCTGGTTTCCAGGCTTTTCTAACTCAGCTTTAAGTGTGCTGTAGCCTCCTTTCCCAGCCAGTCAGATGGCAGCCTCAAAGTCGGAGCAACATACTGGCCAGTTAGTTTCTTGACATTTCTTTAAGGAAGTATTACGTTAAGCCATGACCTATAACCTGCTGCTTCAGCTTAAGTGAAAAGGCGGGGATTGGGAAGGAGAAGAGAAGGGAGAATCCATCTTTTTTTCATGGTCTCATGTTTTAGACCCTAAAGCACAGCCACATGGACCTCCAGAGTCACACCCTGCCTTCCGTGTCAGTAGCCCTGAGTACTTTTCTTAGGACATCTTGTTTGAGTTCAAGACACACAGTAACCTTAACCTAATCCAGTTGTGAATCCAACGTCTCAGCTGTGTCACTGCGAGTTCTTCCTGTGGGGAGGACAGAATCCACTCAAGGACTGACCACGATGACCAGTGAACGGCTCCTGATGAACAGATGAAGTCTAGGCTGGGCCCTGCAATATTTGGGCACCAGCTGTTTCTTAACACTTCAATGCTGAAACAGCCCATAAAAAAATCTATGGGTGTCCCATAATTTAGCATTAACTTCTTTTCTAAAATAGGGTGTAAAGGAATGAACTGTCAGCAGAAGGTAAGGTTCCACCCTGGCATGGCTTCTGCTCAAGAAAGCCATACCCAGCTGGCTGGCTGATGCATGCAAAGGACAGAGACAGGATGATTTCATTTGCCAAAAGCAGGGCTCATATTATGATATTCGAGGGTGAAGTCATCTTTATTCCTATCATTGCACCTTTAGAAGCTTCTTGTGGGGCAGATAACTTTATTTACTGTTGGTGTAATGCCACCATCCAAAGATAAACTAATCAAGGTCAACCTATGTCATGTCCATCTATTCTAATTTGGTTTACTTGATTAAATTATTCTATATGCATAATTTTGGAGGTATTTTTCATTCCCCTTCAGAGAACAAACTATCAAAGAAAATTATTAGCAGATGTCTCTGTGACCCTAATGTAACAAGGACAACACTAAACAAATATTCAATGCACACGGCTTTCAGGTATTCAAATTTCCTTTGGCCCTGCCTCCCTGTTTGGAACAAGGAGGGAGAACAGTACATGGAAAGCGCCTATCATACTGGGTGGAGAACACTGGTGGCTCACTGGTTTTCTTCCCCAGACAAGTCAGGCAGTATTAATCCCGCTGTGAAAATGGAAAGCTGAAGCACACAGATATAAACGATTGGACCAAGGTCAAACAGCCGGGGTGAACAGAGATTCAGAACCCAGATATGATATGGGGACTCTAGGCAAGATGGTGTTCCATTAGCTTCCAGGCAAGAAATGGAAAACCAAATTCTCCTGAAAAAATTACTCCATAAATATCTCTTTAAAATTATTTAACACTTTTAATAAAACAGCATGTCTAAAATACTCCATATTTTCATCTAAATATCTGAAATCTTCAAAGGTTAGGAAAGATTCCACTGCCAGGTGACATAGGAACAGATAATGACAATAAAACGAACATTTAATGTGTGCTAAACATGTATTGGGAACAACGTGAGTTGACCCAATTTATGCTCACATCAGCCTTACAGCAATCATTATTGCTATTCTACAGCTGAGGTTTGGAGGCAGCACAGAGAGGTTGAGTAACTTGCCTGATGTTCCACAGCTAAGAGGTGGCAAGGCCAGGATCCCAACGCCGGTGTCACTTAACCCCTGGGCCCTGCTGCCTCTCCCAACTTAACTTAGCTGCCTGGAGGGGAAGCCAAGGTCAGCCCGCTTTCTGAAGAGCCCCCGCCCTTCAGGAAACAAACAACACTAACGTTGCTAAACATACCCACTCTTAGAGAAACTAGAAGAGGAATGAGGCTGCATCAGAAACAAATCGATGGTTCCAGATTATGAAAAAACATTTTCCACAATACTCCAAACTGTGCTCAAAAGTTCTCCTCAAATTTTATCCTTGCTAGTGAATGACATTAAGAGGCAACACATAAATAAAATGCCAAAAGGTTCCGGCAAACAGAAGTTTCTTCGCTTTAGAATGGCTGGGAAATGAGGGGAAAAACCACTGAAAGACTGTCTTTGCCCAGCAGAACAAACACAGGAACAGAGTGTGTGGGGGTTTTCTACTTAAAGGGCTACCTACCCAGAAAAGCAAAGCACTATTTACCTAAGCTTGCCCCAGTCTTTTGCTTCCTTCAGATTTTATTTTCCTAACACTTGTTTTCAATTTAGCATAATTCTTAAAAGTCACTTAAGTTAAAGGAAGAAACAAAAGGCCAGACAGGTACCTTCCTCTGCATGGCACCATTGTCTTGTCTCATAAAAACCCCTGAACTTCCACCAAGCCCAATGGTCACTTAAGGAAGGTCATTTTTCCCCTAGACTTCTAATTAGTCACAGATAATTTATTGAGCATCTACTACAGTCAAAACAGATGTTTCATTCATTCAATCTCTCTCATTGCTAATATCCCAGCTTCCTGGATCTGGGGAGACCCAAAGTGGTTCCCCATGAAGGAAAACTCAGACTGGAAAATCAGAGCCAGAAATGTGAAAGTCATCTAATATATACCCTGACATTGAACCATACACTGAGTGAGGCTGCTTCCCCACACTACTAAGAGCTATGGCTTGCTTGGTCAAATACTTATTGAGCACTTTCTATATATAAGGGTGTAAGAAACTACGGGGTTCCACATTTATTGGCAGCGGCCTGGGATAATGAAGTAAGTGATGCTGAACTAGGTGTCAGAAGAGCTGAGTTCTAATCTTAGCTTTGGCCCTAACTTCCTGTGTGTCCTTGGGGATCTCCCTTTCTGGGGCTCCATTTTTTTCTCAAAATCTAACATCCTATGATCACTGTTTCCTCAAAACCACGAAAAATATTTATTTTAAATCCTATGATTATGAGAGTCTCCTTTCTGGCCTGGCTAAAGAACCCAGTGGTGAATAGGTGGTTATAAAGGAACACAACAGGAAGTACATCCAGATCTGCCAATTCCCGCATCATTAAAGACACACATAACAGATGAACCTCCCTTCTCCCAGCCAGGAGAAGGTGGCCCCAGCGTGACAAAAGAGAGTAAAATGCAAAATAAGGTCCTCTAAGTGGCAAGGACTGTGGGGTCCACAAGAACAGCTTAGCTGGCATAAGCAGACTTCTCAGCTGCCCAGCACTGGCCATCAGGGAGGTAGACAAAGAAAATCATGCAGATTTTAAAATCAAGCTGCATGATCATTTCTCTAAAGATCGTACCATCGGTTCTGAATAACAAATAATTCCTTTCTCATAGAACAACATTTTGGCAAGACAGCCAAATATATTCCTGAATTCCTGGATATCGCGAACCATGATGTATAATCCATTCTGGTATGGGCCAGGCCAGACACCACTCCCATCATCCTCTCCCCTTCTTCTCTGTGGCTCTCACCCTACTCTCCCTGCTCTTGAAAGGTAATTCTGATCCTTGCCACCCACATCAACACACTACAAAAAGATTTCTATGAAAGAAACTACTTCCAGTCTGTACACTTATAAAATAACAAAAACTATCAAGACTTTGGTAGTCCCTCTCTATTCTAATCCTTAAGGAAACAGAGAACCCATATGTTGATGGGAAACAAGATTCTGACCATTTTCAAAAAGTCTCACAGAACTTCTACTCATTTCAAACAATCTCACAGGATGCACCTCTGGGTCCGAAAGGGGAAATATCAGGATCGAGCCTTGGTTAGAACACCAGGAAGCTCTGCAAGGGGCAGACTTGACTAGGAGCTATTGTTTTTAGTAAAAATAAGTGTCAATTACCAAGAATCCAATTCGTTTCTGAATCTGGGCTAAATGCCTTTATTTAAACGACCTTTTACAATGCCCACAAGAACTCCATGAAGTAGGAACCATTATTATGCTCCTTTTACAGATAGGAAAATTAACGCTGAGAAGTGAAGGAGGTAACTTAGTGAAGAGCAGAGCCAAAGACAGCGATCCTTCTAAACAGACAAGTTGCCCAAGCTCCCCAGCCTCATCCAGCCTTCAACGTCCTCTGTCTGAGGGTGTGAGCTCAGGGTCCCTTGCTCACTCGTTCCCTCCTCAGATGGCCCTCTGATCAGCTTCTGGTTTCATTCCCCACAGCAGAGGCAAACCACTGACTGCTGGGAGAAAACCATCCCAGATGGTCTCAAGGATACACAGCCTGCTCCAAGCAGGTTGGTTGAGAGTCCCCAGCAGCCCTTTGGCATGACCATTGAAGTAAAGCCTCCCAAACTCCAGATGTACCCTATGTTGGTACATAATCCACGCAAGTACAAAGGAAGCTCAACCTGTTTTGCCTATGAGAACAGGAATGAGTAGCCAGCTTCGGGGCACTGAGGGTATAAATAGATGCATAGTGTCATTTCTGGTCAGAGGATGTTAAAATGCTTCCCAAACATTGACCCATCTATTTTCACAAGGTGCCACATTTACCACCATATTCTCCATAGCATTAAAGAACAGAAGCAAAGCTTTGCACCCAGAGACAGACAAGCCGAAGGCTTCCAGAGGCTGACCACAGTTCTGTGAGATCTGATTTGAAATTTTAAAAAATTATCAACTGAACGAACACATGGTCCTCACTTACCCTTTCTATCTCTTGGAGGTACAGGAGTGCAATGTCCCCTGCCTTCTCATAACACGTGATGACATCCTGTTCCCGATCCACATGGAGATTACTGGTAGAAGAAGAAATAGGCAACTTCTCTAAACAAAGTCCTAAAAAAAAATCAACATACAAAAACTGGGTAAGTTGTTTTTCATGGGGCTTAATTTTTTTTTTTTTTTTTTTTGGTGTACGGGGGCCTCTCACTGCTGTGGCCTCTCCCCGCTGCGGAGCACAGGCTCCAGACGCACAGGCTCAGCGGCCATGAATCACGGGCCCAGCCGCTCCGCGGCATGTGGGATCTTCCCGGACCGGGGCACAAACCCGTGTCCCCTGCATCGGCAGGCAGACTCTCAACCACTGCGCCACCAGGGAAGCCCCATGGGGCTTAATTTTTTAATATTGCTCTAGAGGGCCAGATAATATTAGAGAAGCAGATACTCTACCCTCTCTCTTTAAGGACAAAATGGAACATCAAAACGGAGTACCAAAAAGAATATCCATAAGTTTCAGATGAAGGAGGTCCCTAAATATACAGAAAGCACCATTTGACTTTGATATCCAGGTTGAGAATTTGATCGGGTACTTCACCATGATTCCATTCAGATCTAACAGAGCTTCTCATTCAAGTATGTCTCAAGGTCCTTAAAGAATTTTTTAAAGTAAGTACAGGTACGCTCACAGCACAATACCAGGTACAGAGTATCTTCTGTCCCATGATGTACACTTAACCGATTGAACACAAAACATTTCTAAATGCTCTCAGGAGCCTCAGTTACCAGGAAAATCTTCCAACTCTCAGCCCTAGAGTTCTGTAGTAATGACAACACCCCAAGCCACCTCTCAGTTCCAGGCCAAGAAAACACCCAGAACATTGCTGTGTGGGCACTTCTTGGGAGATGGAGGGGTTACTCTTTGCCAAGAGAGAGTTCAGGGCTGGGACGGGATATGAAAGCATGAAAGACTGAGAAATAACAATGCTGAGAGGAGCAGCTGTTGCATAAACCCAGCACCAACCTCAGCCCCTGCTCTGGGCAACCAGCCTGGAGCACGTCGGGCTCCGGGTCCCCGCCTGCAATTGGAGGCAGAGAGGGAGCCCCGCGGGGAGGGTTTCTGCTGTGTCAAGTGCCCTGGGGTACCGGGAAACACACACTGCACACGTTCACTCCACGCACGAGGGCGCGAGAAGCTTCAATGCGGACACAGTCCGGCTCTGCAGCTGGAAGGGGCCTGAGAGGTCCCTGGGAAACCCACTCATTTTATAGACGAAGAAGCTGAGAGCCATCATGGTAAAGTAAGCGACTTGCCCAAAACATGACAGGCAGTTAACAGCACAGCAGGAATGAGAACCCAGGTCTGGGGCCTCCCAAGCAACACCTGTCAAGTGAGCTGCTGGCTTTCAGAGCAGACACCACCGCAGAGGGGACCAGACACACCAAACGCCAGCAAGTGACCCAGAGCCTCCCGTGCATCACTCTGAGAACGGCCTCCTCCAAGGTGCTCTTATCAAACTGTGACAGTCCCTCCAGGCTGTAGAAGGTGACAGGAGGTGGTCGTACTGCATGGGAAGGAGAAACCACTTCCATCCACAGGGAGCCCACAGCTGAGGACAGTGTGCCGGGGAGCTCAGAGGTGACCACGTTGTCACAGAAGGTGCGGATCGGCCAAAGATTTTGTTATTGTTTAACAGCTTTATTGAGGTTGCGCTTTTTTAATGTTTCATCATGATTTCTTTTATTTTTATTGACTCTATTTTTTATTAACTAAAGTCCATCGTTTACATTAGGGTCCACTCTTAGGGTTGTGAAGTTCTATGAGTTTTAACAAATGCATGGTGTCATGTATCCACCATCACAGCATCGTACAGAATTGACTCACTGCCCTAAAATTGTGCTCTATCCCTCTAGCCCTCCTCCTGAACCCGTGGCAACCACTAATCTTTTTACTGTCTCTACAGTTTTGCTTTGTCCAGAATATCATATAATTGCAATCATCTAGTATGTAGCCTTTTCAGATTGGCTTCGTTCACGTAGAAATATGTTTTAAGGTCCCTTCATGTCTTTTTGTAGGCAGATAGCTAACTTCCTTTTGTCGTTAAATAACATTCCATTTATTCATTATTTAAAGGCACCACGGTTGCTTACAAGTTTGGGCAATTATGAAGAAAGCTACTATAAACATTCACGTGCAGGTTTTTGTGTGGACATAGACTTCAACTCAATTGGGTAAATACCAAGAAGGGGAACTGGTGGATTGTATGGTGAGAATGCGTTTGTAAGAAATAGCTAAATAAATATATTTAATTTACAGATAGCTTTGTAAGAATAAATATTATTGGGTTGGCCAAAAAGTTTGTTTGAGTTTTTCTATCAGATCTTATTTTTAGCTTTATAAGGAACTACTAAACTGTCTTCCAAAGTGGCTGTACTATTTTGCATTCCCGCCAGCAATGAATGAGAGTTCCTACTACTCAGCATCCTTGCCAACACTTGGTGTTATCAGTTTTTTGAATTTTAGCCATTCTAGTATGTATAGGGGTGTCTCACTGTTGTTTTAATTTGCAGTTCCCTAATGGCATACGATATTGATCTTTTCGTACGCTTATTTGCCACCTGTATACCTTCTTTGGTGAAACGTCTGGTCAGATCTTTTGCCCTTTTTTCGATTCAGTTGTTTGTTTTCTTACTGTTGACTTTTGAGTTCTTTGTATATTTTGGATACGTGTCCTTTATCAGATATCTATTTTGTAAATATCTTCTCGCAGTCTGTGACTTTTCATTCTCTTAACAGTGTCTTTCACAGAACAAAAGTTGTTAGTTTTAATAAAGTCCAACCTATCAATTTTTTCTTTCAAGGATTGTGCTTTTGGTGTGGTCTCTAAAACGCCACTGCTAAATCCAAGGTCACCTAGGTTTTCTCCTATGGTATCTTCCAGAAGTTTTATAGTTTGGCATTTTACATTTAGGTGTACAATCCATTTTGAGTTGATATTTGTGAAAGGTATAAGGTTTGTGTCTATATATATATATATATATATATATATATATATATATATACACCCATGTGGCATGTGGATGTTCGTTTGTTCCAGCACTATTTGTTGAAGAGACTACCTTTCCCAATTGAATTGCCTTTGCTCCTTTGTCAAAGATCAGTTGATTATAGTTGAGTGGGTCTATTTCTGGGCTCCCTATTCTGTTCCACTGATTTTTTTGGTCTATTCTTTCACCAATATTATGTGTCTGGATTATCAGTATACAGTATATCATTTTTAAAAAATAGCTCTACTGAGAGATAATTTACATGCCATAAAATTCACTCATTTTAAGTAAAATTCAACATTTTTTTAATAAACTCATAGAGTTGTACAACCATCAACACAATCCAGTTTAAGAACATTTCCATCATCCCCAAATGATCCTTTCCGCCCAAATCAATCTCTATTCTCAGCCCCAGCCTCAGGCAACTGTTAATCTGCTTTCTGTCTCTGTAGATTTACCTTTTCTGGACACTTCGTAAAAATAGAATCATATAATATCTGGTCTTTTGTGTCTAACTTCTTTCACTTAGCATAATGTTTTCAATTTTCCTCCAAGTTACAGCAATACTCCATTTCTTTCTGCTGCTGTATGGATAGAGTGCATTTTATCTGTCCATTTGCCAGTAATGGGCATTTGGGTTGCTTCCTTTTTGGCTATTATGAATAATGCTGCTATGAACATTCATGTATAATTTTCTTGTGTGAACATGTATTTTTAATTCTCTTGGGTAAATACCTAGAAGTGGAATTGTTGGGTCAGATAACAAATTTACTTTTAACTGTTTAAAAAACACTTGTTTTCCAAAGTGGCTATTACCATTTTACATTCCCACCAGCAATTTATGAGGATTCCAGTTTCTCCACATTCCTGTCAATACCTGTTACTGTCTGACTGTTTTGTTATAGCCATCTAAGTAGGTGTGAAGTGGTACCTCATTGTGGTTTTGATTTGCATTTCCATGATGACTAATGATACTGACTTTTCATGTGCTTATTTGTTATCCATACATCTTCTTTGGTGAAATGTCTATTAAAATCAGTATTGAGTCTTCTGACCTATGCACAGAGTATGTCTCTTCATTTATGTAGGTCTTCTTTACATCTCTCAGCAATGGTTTGTAGCTTTCGGTGTGCATGCCTTGCAAACCTTTTGTTAGATTTAAGTATTTCATATTTATTATACTGTTGTAAGTGGTATTGTTTTAATTTTCATTTCCTTTTGTTCATTGCTAACATATAGAAATACAATAGATTTTTGAATAGTGATCTTATATTCTGTACCCTTGCTAAATTCACTTGTTAGTTCTACACAATCATGTTGTTTGCAAATAAAGACAGTTTTACTTCCCCCTTTCCAATCTGGATGCCTTTATTTCTATTTATTGCCTTATTGCCTTATTGCCCTGTCAAGAACCTCCAGTACAACACTGAAAAGAAATGGTGAGAGCAGACATCCTTATCTTATTACTGACCTAAGGGAGAAAGCACTTAGTCTTTCACATGAAGTTTGATGTTAACTATCAGTTTTTCATAGATGACCTTTATTAGGTTGAGGAAGATCCCGTCTACACCAATTTTGCTAAGAGTTTATATCAAAAATCGATGTTGGATTTCCTCAAATCCTTTTCCTGTGTCTATGGATTGTTCTCTTTTATTTAATCTGGTGAATTAAATCGACTGATTTTCAAATATTAAACCAAACTTCCTTTCCTGAGATAAACCCTATTGACCATGATGTATTATCCTTTTTTTACATTTTTAGATTTGATTTGTTAAATTTCTGCTTGGAATTTTTTTCATCTATGTTCATGAGGAATATTTGTCTATAGATTCCTTGTAATGTCTCTGTCTGATTTTGGTATTAGGGTAAGTCTTAACCTCATAAAATGACTTGAGAAGTATTCTCCCTTCAATTTCCTGGAAGAGTTCGTGTAGAATTACTATTTTGTTCTTAAACGTTTGGTAGAATTTACCAGTAAAGCCAACTGGACCTGGAGTTTTCTGTGTGGAAACTTTTTAACTATAAATTCCATTTCTTTGATATACGGTTGTTCAGATAATCTCTTTGTTCTT